AGACTATTAACTAATGTCCATTTTAAAATAAAGTGCAGTCGGTTACTTGTTTAATAATTCGGCAACGCTGATAGCTGTCGAGTTCGGATTTTCACCGTTAAAAAGAGGATGGATGGGGCTATCTGTTCACCTCAGAGTCAAAATCCTTGAGAGGTTTTCTAAGAGGTTTCTGGAAAACCATTGACTAGTTCCTTTCATTAAGGAGTGATGATAACGGCATTGATCTGAAAAAAAGCAGAGGTGACTAGAAGGAATGTTGATTCAGTATGGTTTCTTGTTTTTCTAGAGTAAGAAAAAGAAGAATTCTCAAGAACCATGGCTTCTGGGGAGACAGGTGACATTTTAATTTTGTTGTTTGTTTTTCTGGATAGAAATGTCATGTACTCTTTTCATCTTTCTCTTTCTATCTGTCCGGCTTTAGCTTCGTCACACACAGCGATTCTTCATTCACTATCACTAGAGACTTTTAAAGTTAAACTGACAGCCTCGTTAATGAGTGAGATTAAAACAGGGCAGCCATAGAAAATTTTCTCTTCCGCAGTTTCTACACTACCTGACTTTTATTACTGTTTGTTTGTTACTCATGTTAAATGTTACTTGTAAATTATTCCAAAACTGAGTCCATTCTTCACTAACTCCATAGGTAATAATTAAAAGATGCAGTTGACTAAAGAAATCATCGACGATCGATCGAACTTTAATTAGGAAAATAACTGAAAGTGCATAGGAGATGAGTGTATGAAGAACACAGGAATAGAGAAATATACGTAGACAGCAGACATTTTCACGATAAATACCAACAAAACCAAAGACGAGTGTTGGAAATTGCAATATGGAGAGTGAGAGAAATAGAGCAGAGAGCCGATGTAGAAATGACCACTTAAATGTTACTGTCTTTTGCTCCTCTTCATTTTTTGGATCATTTTCAATTTTAAAGAAATCTGATGTAGAACTTGTGTTAGTTGAATATTTCTCTGATGTTTGATGAAAGAGTGATGGCAATTGTTCATGTGTACGATATTTCTCTAATAGTTGTGTTTCATAGTAGATACTAATACCACTGACAAATAGAAGACATGTAAAAAATGTACAAATAGAAAAGAGTATAATGAAACAAGATTTGGTTTTAAATTGCACACGATTTAATTTTTGATTTGTAGTAATACCTGCATAATTACAATCAGATGAAGAAAGAAGAGACTTAAGTAGACTGAACATTGGTTTGTTGTTGGAATAGAAAATGGAGTTGGATGTAGATGTTTCCTTGGTTAAGAGCGCTGTTTCCGTATTTTTGCCTTTAAAAGCTCGGACGTGTACTACAAAAATCAATAAAAAGATCTTGATTAACAGGTACAGGTCTACTAGAGCGTTGCGAAGTTTTAGTTATTACATTGTTAGTTAAATTCAGTTCTACATTTACAATTCAACAAGGAGTATCTATCTATCGAAAGCCGTCATCCTCAGCAGACAGGAAAATCATAGCTCTTCGATTGTTCGAGAAGCTCCAAAAAGTTAAGGTAAAAAGTTTTCTCCCTCCTCCCCTTTTGGTATGCTACCTGTAATTAGAGAGAATTACCTGGCGCGTTTCGTATACTCTGGTCCATTCAAAATCCATCTACTCCAAAGACCAGCGTCTTCGTATCTCTCTCCCACTGAGTTTTCTTCTCACCAACAGTAAATTCTACGAAATCAGCTATTCTATCGCACTGAAACAAAAATTGCCGCTGAGACAGATATGGTACTTTGTTTTTGGTTCCAAACTTCACGGAAAACGAATTAAAATTTTGTTTTTTAAATGCATCCAACAAAACAGTAAGTAACTTCTCACTGAGCTGAGGTGTTGCTTCTCAATTTTGATTTTTTGTTCTTTTTAGCAAGAAGAAAAATCCACGTTCTACGCTAATCTTTAGGGAAAAAAAAATGTTTAAATGAAGTGATTGTTTTGTATTGTACATTCAAATCAACAAATATGGTTTGGAGGTAAACGCCGCCTACTGCCTAGTTTTGTTTTTTAATGAAATAATCAAAGACGTAAATAACACGTAAGTGCTGAATTTTTTCACGTGTAGATAGATTCTTTACCATCCTAAACTTGTAGGTTAAATGGCTTTTGTTACCAATTGATATTGAATTATTGTTTTTTTCATCAATACACCGACACAGGTAAGAAAGAGTTTTACTGAGGTCGTTGATATCTCAATAAGTTTGTAATTTCAGCCCTGATCGTTGTCAGATGACTGTTCTTGCTGAACAGGAAGGTGGGTTTTCTTTGTTGGTGATGAACAAAAGCAAATTGACAGGTGAGAAGCTAATCTAAAGAAAAAAGCTCTCGTACCTGATTAATTCAGCTTTTTCGTTTCTAGAGATCCGTCGACTACTAACGTAATTGAATTCACATGTATTTTATAGTTACAAATAAAATTTGAAGAAGAAAAAAATAGTCAGCCAGCGCTGGACTTCTCCTTTCAACCACGACACTTCACACGCATTATGTAAATGCAATACGTATACGAAAAACATTTTTTGTTGCAATTATCTGTAGTTTATATTTTAAATGATGTTGTAATAGAGATAGGGGTTGTAATATAGAAGTACCAGATGATTGTTTTGTTAAAATTCGTACAAATTGTGCATCAACTAATGGCTGTATAAAATGATCTATAAGTACCTCGGTTTCAATAGCCCCTTTCTAAAGAAACAGAGAAAAAAAACCCTTCTAGGAGGTCTGCAGTGAGAGTCAGCCATCGACAGTCTCATCTCATAACGTACCCGCAATATTCTTAAAAAGAAATATGTTTGATGGTCTGTATTTGTATTTAAACTTTTATAAATACTCTGCAGTGCTTCACGATCATTTCTTTCACTTAAGGGTACCCCTCCCCTCTTTTTGAGCTTTCCGTAGAAATGCTGTGAAATAGAAACTAAACGTCACTAAGGCTTCATATTTTCAGAACTGGTTGGAAACTCAATGGAGCACTTTTCGCTTTTGTTTCAAATCTTTAGCTATTGTTGTTCACGAATTTTTCAGAAAACTCGGTTTTTCATTGGACCACATTACGACCCCCCTTAAATTTCATCCGATCGAGTTAAGAATTTTACCAGAGATACTCAAGGTCATTTCGCAGAAGTAAGTCTTTTGAAATCTTTCTAAGACCTTTCCTGGTCGAGTTACAGGAAAAATACTGAAAAACGTCTCAAAAACCGTTTTTCAATTTTAGAAACCCTATAACTCGGTAAAGAAAGGTCTAAAATAAAATTCAAAAAATTTACCTCTGCAAAAGTGTCTTGAATACCTCTGGTAAAACTTTTAACTCGATCGGATGAAATTTAAGGGGGTCATAATGTGGTCCAATGAAGCCCGGGAGCAAAAAAATAGTTGTCGAGAAAAACGCATTTTGTACACAGGTCACATTTTTTTCAGGGCATTTACCGCAATGCTTATATCTCCACGAAAACTCATCGAAAATTTCTGGGAGGTATCTCATTGTGAAGAGAAGACTTTCTTCTATCAGACTATGTGTAAGAAAAAAGTTTGAGTGTACAGGAAAGGAGAGAAAAATTTATGAAAGTAAAAAATTGAGTTTTTTCAGGCTTTGAAGGAAAAACTTAAAAAATTCATAACGTTTTGAAGAAAGGTCGTGGAATGCTGGGAGTGGTCTCATTTTGTAGCCCAGACTTTCCTCTACATTAGGCTATGCTCAGCTCAAAATCCAAAATTTTTTGAAAAAAGAAGGGGGGTACCCTTAAGGATTCAGTTTCTCTCAGTTCATTAATATAAATTACATAACAATTTTCAATTTTTGTTTGTGCTGGTGTCCAAAGTGTATGTAAATGTCTTTTTACTTGATGATAATTTTATAAATTTAGATGTTGGTGTATTCTTTTGTAACCAGGTTATATCCGTATCTTTCATCCTTTTAAAATTTTTCTTACATAATTCTGCTTCATCTGTTGGTTGATTTATACAGATATATGTATCACCAGTTTCGATATTGTTAAATTTTTTGTTGTATCCAGCAAGACAGTAGTAGTAGTTTAAGAAGAGTAATGAAAAAGAAATTAAAAAAAGATTAATAGTTGATCGAAACATTTTATTTTTTTTTGTTCGGAGAAAAATGAAATGAAAATTTAAAGGGATAATAAACAAACATAGAGCAGGAAAAGAGACGGCGCGCAAGTTAAAACTCATCGAGGAAAACAAAGTTTGTGACCGAGTCGCTCTCGCAGAGAAGAATACAGAGTAGATAGAGTTTCTCTTGTAACATAGCTGCCACTCGATTTTTGCGTCTTCGGTTCTAGGAGGAGACTGATCTATAACTTCGTACTTTTCAATTTTTCAACTGGCTGTTTTTACTTCAGCTTGTGTATTCCTCAAACTTCTTTCTCTCTATCATTACAAAAAAAGTAAAGCCTCTCACGAGGGAACTACCCGAGGTGTCAAAAACCGTTTCGACCGAGAATATCATGGTTAGATAGAGTATAGGTAGGAGTGATATATCCTAAGTTGGTTCGTGCGCAATCAGCTTTGTTGTTGAGATATCGAATTTTTACCCGAATTTTCCCCATAGGACCTGGATTTCAAGCAAAATCGAAGTTTTGATTTTCATGTTGTAACTTATCACATATTGTAGCCCAGACCTATTGTAGTCCGATGAAAAAAGGGCCGAGCTGAAAAGCTCTTTCCGCTAGGGTGAAAGAACTTTTCCAAAACTTGCTCCATGTTTTACCTCTGGTGCCCATATGGAAAAAGTTCCTTCACCGCAGCGGAAAGAGGTTTTCACCTCGGCCTTTTTTCATCGGACTACAATAGGCCTGGGCTACAATATGTGATAAGCTACAACATGAAAATCAAAACTTCGATTTTGCTTGAAATCCAGGTCCTATGGGGAAAATTCGGGTAAAAATTCGATATCTCAGCAAGAAAGCTGATTGCGCACGAACAAACTTAGGATATATCACTCCTACCTATACCCTATCTAACCATGATATTCCCGGTCGAAACGGTTTTTGACACCTCGGGTAGTTCCCTCGTCAGTAATACTCAGGTTCAGCAGTAGTTATATATCTTTTCCCTCCTCCTCTTTCATTTAAAGGCACCAATCCTCTGCTGTGACTGTGACTACCACCACTTTGTTCAGTACTCCCTCCACCTCTTCCTAACGCTGCAGATATCAATATAAATTGTTCACTAACATCCAATGTTGGAGATGGAGACGTGTCACCACCACTATGACCATGAAGATGACTACTAAAACTATTTTGACTTCTTTTTCTAGTTCTACCATGAAACTACAATATACACATCGAGTCCATTAAAAAGAGAAAACAGGACAGAAATAGACTTACAATTTTACTACAACATGACCACAAAAGATAACCAATTAAAGCTAAAATGATGAGAGTTAGTGTTCCACTAAGTAATAGATTTATATTCTGTGAATTGTTATTTAAATGTGGTATGTTGGTCTCCTTTGGATAGAGATCTGAAGGATTTGGAAGGGAGGACATGTATGGACGATGATGATTATTGTGATCGTGATCGTCTTGTATGACGATTGTTGAAGTGTGTTTCTTCTTTTTCTGTGGCATCGTAGATTTTGTAGTATCTTCGTCTTCTGAATGAGCTGTTAGAAGAGAGAAAGAAAGTTAAGGATGGTACAAGAACTGGCTGCGCGAAGTCTCCTAAGCTAACGAGATAGTCACATCCATTCTCTTTTTGTCTAGCGCATTCCTGAAAGACGATTTTGAAGAAGCTGATCTAGTGTATGAACTTGTTTCTGACAAGGTTCCTCTTTCGAAGCAAGTTTGGACTTGAAATGAGACTGCCGAATGAACTTGAACCTAGTTTCCGTAGAACTCCATCTACCGTACTTACCCGAATCGCAAGTTAAAACCGTCACTTACTTTGATCTTGTTTCAAATTTTCCGGATCTTTCTTCTTTACAAACAATGGCAGACAAAGAATTCCAACAATAGCAACAATAAATAATAAAGTAAACCAATTTTCTATTGTAAAATCAGTTGTATTCTGTTTAAATCATGTTTGTGCTTTGTTAAAAATGAATTATGCTTTTGAAATGACCTGTTAGAAAGAAAGAAAAGAGAATTTTAGTGTAGAAACTAGATATCTCTTCTCACAGGCCTCAAAAACAGGTAGCTGAAGGTGTGAAAAAGAGGTCCTAAGCCATCCAGAAACGTTTTCGACCGCAAAAGCTTGAGAATTCTTCAAATTGCATCAAGAAAGTCCACCCAGAAAACACTTTTGATGTTTTTAGGTATCTTTGAAGGTCGAAAAGAGAGAAAACAACCGTACTAAAGCTCACCTGACTTTAACTCAACCCCTTGAGAGACCTTTTTGAGTTGAAAAATGCCGAAAAATGCCTTTAATTAACCACAACAAGACTTCCTATATGAGTAATAGCACTTACCATCTGAGTAATGTCGTTGCCCTTGTTTGTTGCTACTTTTACAGTCGCTGGTGTTACTGACGGTCCTAAAATAACAAAAACATGGTACTTGAATTTCTAATTCTCCACCGTATCTTACTTGAGCCTTCTAATTCTTCTTGATAATAAAATATGTTAACTGGTGTTTCTTGATATGACAGCCTCCGCAGTGATGTAAATGGATAGAATATAATTTTTCAGTTCCTTGTTGATTACTAAATGGTATATCAACTTTATTACCCAATAAAAACATTGGAATCTGTATGAGATCTTGATTCACAAGAGTTTGTTTATCAATAGAATATACATAATGTAAATTTAATATAAATGTAACATTGCCTTTATAAATTTTAAATTTTGCAATACCATTTAGAAGTGCTGTAAGGGAGAAGGAACGAAATGAGACCGAGGAAAGACAGCAACAGGGAAAACAAGTTCAGCAGACAAAGGAGCACCCGACTAGTCAGAGGAAAAGCCCGGAACTACCTTGGAATGCTTGTTTCGGCTTGCTAACACTGCTCTGCTGAATCTGCTAAGCTACCGAGATAGCTCTAGCATTCCTCAAAAGAACACTTACTCTGCATAAAACTTAATGGTAATACATTTTGATGCCACTCAGGCTTCTTAACAAAATTTCCTTGTTGTAATGCTCTAACATTAACATTCATCAGATAATTTACTTTACTAACATCCCATTGTTTATCACTGTATGACGTGGACGGAAAAGGAAGAAATTTCGTTCACTTTCGATAGAAACATCAAACAACTTACTTAACAAAACATCTCGTAAGATTCTAGAAGTCTTGTTACTATCACACAAATTCTTGACCGGACAAAATTAGGTATGCCACAGTTGCGGTTAACTGTAACTGTAAAAACTGCAGAACCGTAAAACTGCTACAGTTAAAACTGCTACATTTGATAATCGAAACTGATCATAACTGTCAGAAAAAATTTCTACGAGAGATAGAATATCGAAAAAGAAAATCCATGTATTTTTGCTCAGGATATTGTGTCATGTTCTTTTATGGATTTTCTGATAAACTCTAGTTTTCACCCAGTCACATTACGACTCCTTGAAAAAATAGTCCTATCGAGCTCAACTTTTTACCACAGATACTTCATACTCTATCAGGTTCTAAATCCCTTTCAAGCGTTTACAAGTTGAACTTTCGGCCTGAGAAGGCTTTTAAAATCGAAGAAGGACTTTTTACATAGGATTTTTAGCATTTTTCGAAGGAAAACATATTTTTTGAAAAAAAAATTGGAACATGTGATGGGCTCTACGTTATCTGTGGTAAAAAGTTGAGCTTAGAAAACCACCCTCACCCAGTTACATCAAATTTTCTGTATAGTAAACTTCGTATCTCATTGTCTGATGATGAAATGTGTACATTTCGAAACATCACATTGTGTATAATAAAAAATTACAAGGTACTGTGTTCGAGCCTCAGCTCCACCAGACATGGAATGACCCTGGGCAAGTTATTAACGGCTGCTTGCCTCGGACCACCCGTCTGATAGCATACCGCAAGGTAGCCGAAAGGCGGGGTATTCTTCCTTCCTTCTTCTAGAATCTGCCCACTTTTCACGTTTGTTGTTTGCGCTCAAGTCTGTTTACATCGCAGTTGGCGGGAAAATTGTAGTTCGGGTTTTCTTCAATTATTCTGCAAAAAGTTCCACTTTTCGCATTATTTTTGAGAAAAAGAATAGCTCTGCTTAATTTTAGGCATGTCGGCCATTTTGGATTTCTATTGGTTAGCACACAGAACCAGTTAACCCCTCTCCCGTTCGTATGACATTTTTCAATGTTGAAATAGTAAATTGACCACTACAGATTATTTCTTTTGAAGTTAGATAAATCAGACACAATGAACAAAGAGCAAAAAATCCATTATCCGTGTTTAGGCGTGAAAACACTCTGGCAGTGGCGCCTAAAAACAAAAACAAAATCAGCCTTTTGTCTGAATTTTCCTTTTTCAAATTTTATGCTAAGTTAATATAAAATTAATTCTAAGATTTTTGATATATATATGAGCCTGTATCCCTGAGCATGACAACTAGGACATACTTTTCATATGTAAGAAAACTAATTTTATAAAAAACGAAACGAAAGGACGGGGTGCAATAAGAACCAGAATCGGCCCCATTTCAGACCTTCTCGAAAGGTATCTAGAATGAAAGAGCATGTGATTTTACGGTGTTCCAGATCCCTGGTTTCCCTTCGGACTTGATATCTGTGAGAAAATCGATTAGCTTTGATCAATAGCCTCGCGCCCAGGTGATTTTTCTGCAACATAAATCTGCAAAAATCTTTGCAGTAACTTTGCAGATTCTGCAAAGGATGTCTGCAGATTTGAAGCAGATCTGCAATGCAGATGTGCCAAGATTTGGCCAAAGATCTGATGCAGATCTGCAAAAAATCTTTACAGTTTCTTTGCAGTTCCTTTGCAGATTTTTTGCAGAGGAACTGCAGATTTTTACAGCTTTTTTTTTGTTTGTATATTTGTGTCAAAACATTTGAAATATATGAAATAAATGTATATCCCTCAGTCCCACAGCACACTGAAAAATCTGCAAAAAACTGCAGTTTTTCTGGAAAGAATCTGCAGAGAAACTGAAACGAAACTGTAAAGATTTTTTTGCAGATCTGCATCAGATCTTTGGCCAAATCTTGGCACATCTGCGTTGCAGAAAAACTGCAGATTGCAGAATCTGTGCAGCTTCTGCAAAGATTTTTGCAGATCGAGTTTTTTTGGGCGAACCCATTGCGATGTGTTTTTCGTACTTTTCTCAGAATGAAACAAGTTTGAAGGAAAGTCTTATATACCATCGTTTAGATGCATCTCGAAAATGCGTCACAATATCATCAGATGCGACTTTTTATGCTGATTCCAAATCTATAAGTTTTTTTAATTTGTTTGTTAATTTGTTATGCAGAGAATTTTTCATGGCGAAATCGCCGAAAAACAACGGAAATCGGATTTTACGAAAATCTACAGACTTTGTTTGTTTTTGTTGAAACTTTGGAAGAATGTTAGTCGTGATGAGGGTTGGTTGTGGTAAAAATTCCAGCTCATTTGGACCATATTTCACTGCGTAGCATGGATTAGAACGGAAAAATGCCTCAAAATTTCGGTGAAGTTTGATTTTACCCACACAGAAAGGGAATTTTAAGAAAGTCTTAACGTACTTATTTGGCTTTCTGCTTGACAGTTTGAACTGTATATGATAATAGACAAAATCTATCAAATCCAGGAAGAGATAGGTTTGACAGAGTAAAGTGAAGAATGCCATACCGGTCATATAGTCGATTTTCCTAGAAAAAAATATGTGTGATAAAGAACTTTGAAACTTGTGTAGACATAGAGTATTTTAGATGCTGAATTCGAACATCCTATTGAAAAGTCTCAACAATGAAAGGAAACGGATCTGGATAGGAAGCGTTTTTACCGATTTTCACATCTACTTAGTGCCTTGCTGTTTTTACCATCAAAACTTGACCAAAAATCGAACAAGCAAGATCATATTTATGATCGGCAGCAGCTCAAGGCGAATCCAAATACCTGTAATAAAGCCAGAAACAAAGCAATGCTTGAGCTTTGAATTAGCCGCGCCTTAATAAAGTTGCTAACTCTTAATTTTCTTTGCGAAAAACACATCGTCTGAAATATTTTTTCGCATGTGAATAGCATGAAGATCAAGCCATCTGTTGATCAAAATGGAGTCAGAAGTTTTCGAAGTTCCACTTATCGAGGACCTCGACAATAATGGGATAGTTAGAACGGAAAAAATGCCCTAGCATTTTTGTAGAGTGAATCAGTTCGCGAAAGGATCTATGGATATTGACACAAGAGACGACTGAGCGGTGAAGAAGGAATGTCAGAAGATAGGTGCTTTCTTTTACAGGAAAGAGTTCAAAGAAAAGTGTCACACTGCCTTTTTGATGTTTTCAGGTGGTATCACGTGCTGATACAAGTGTCACGAGAAAGACAAGAAATCTATGTAGATGGGAAACGGGAAGGTCAGGTGGATATGACCAATCCAAACAACCGTAGTGAGATATGGGGCCATCCTATGAGTCGAAAAGAGAAATGGGAAGATATGAAAATGGATATGCCACATGCTCTATGCATCGGTTCAAAATCATCGGAATCCGCTCCACGTACATTCTGCTATGGACAAGTAACAGATGTTTGCATTTGCACTCAATGGTTTCATCCAAAAGAAATTCAAGCCATTTATCAATCCAAGGTCACTGTCGACAAGGTCGAAAATACAGGACATAGCTTGTGTTTGATTCTTTCACTCTTCAGTCAAATGATTCATTTTCCTAAAAATCCTTTGAAGTAAGAACCTATAGTTACGTTCATGAGTTAATCCCGGTTCAGGTGCCGGAAATTCGAAAGAGACGCAAAAAAATAGACTTGCTTCAAAAGTATATGGTTGGATAGAGTTCGAGTTGCTGGTCTCAGACATGTATTTGGATTTCAAATTTGATGAAGTTTTTGAGGGAGAAAAGCCGAAAATATGACGGAGATGTGAAAAGTGCTTTTTCCATTCTTCGAAGAAAAGCGTGAAGTTTTACCTTCAAAACAGGATCAAAATGAACTTTTAAATAATAGCTAATCGTGGCTGGGACAGTAGAGGGTGATAGAGTTTCTCACGGCCTTCCAGATCGCCAATTTAGTTTTGAAATAAATTGATGATAAGTTGAACAAAATCGATGAAAATGTCGCAACACACACATCACCGGGGAATGGGATGATGAAGGTGTCTTTGTTGCTCTTGAATTTTTTTTCAACAGACGAATACAATTGAAGATGTACTTATAGAGGGTTGTAGAGAATTTGATGGGCTATCCGAATCTCTATTTACTTTGTCAAAACGAACAATTTATAGTGATAACATATGGAAAATACCGAGTCTAGTTATTTTTGGCCAGAGGGATATAAAGAATATTTGCTGAAAGTCTCACCTCTGTATGGTGTGTGGTTGCTGAGAAAATGGAATTTTATTGAAAAACGCATATTTTCGAGGTTTTTAACCTATGCAACTTGTAAAATCTATAACTCGGCAAGGAAAGGTCCTACTGCACTGAAATTTTACCATAACCTAGTCCTAAGGTCTAGATGATATGGTAAAAATTTCAGTCAAATCGGTTGACATCAGTATAACTACCTGTCTGAACCTCTCAGACCATGGCTCTTAATTATATGTTATTCATTTGATTGTATAATTTAGAGAATATCAACCTTGAAAAGAGTGCAATCTAGCCTGGAACGGAGATTGAATGATTTTTCCTAAACTTACTGGCCAAATCTGTGATTTGATACCGAGATCGAAATAAGTTTGAAATAAATAATGAATTTGTTCAAGACAAAATTGTTCGTCAATAATTTCACGTCGTGTCAATATAAAGCCTTGTGCCTTGTTGTTTCTTTTTCTTTATTGCATCGTTTAGCTACAGTCGTAACGAATGTAGAAGTAGCTTTCGTGGCATTTTTAAATATTTTGACGGTTTATACAAAACAAAAGCTTCTCGATTCGAATCCCGATGTTTTGCAGGCTTCAGCTGTCTTTTATCGAATACCATTGATTTTAACCTAGTGAGAATAATATGACCTGTTCTTAGATGCCAATTTATTTTTTAGATACACATACTCTGAAAATAAGTTACTGTAAATTATTAGTGTTCTTTTGCGACAGGCAAACAAAGTTATTTGTCTCAAAAAGAATTGTATGCATCAAAGGTTAATAGACAAATAGCATGTATATTTCGAAGAAAAAAAACAAATAAAAAAGTAGCATTAAGAGAAAAAAAGCCTGATTGTTTACACATCAGTCAACGCAGTTTTTGAACCTGATTCCAAATATGCTACTTTTATTCCTGAAAGTTGAGTTCTGATCGAGAAAATTGAGAATTACGGGTTATTCCTCTGATTTAGAAAAATTGACTTTTCTCGAAAACGACTAAATATTTCTAAAAAAGCGTCTCATACTTTTTTCCTACAAGCATACTGATTAGAGGAAGCTTAATCTTTCAACGGAAAAACCTAGATACGTTTTTCAAATTTGGCAGTAGGGTTTTTACGATTCTACTTACGATTTCCGTGAATTTGACTGTCAGTCTCAACTTTGAAATTTTGGAATTCAGTTTTTTATACTCAGTTTTCGATGAAGAATCAGAAAAAAATAGGTTTGGAATTTTAAAGAAAAGCAAAAAGATCTAAAAACAATTAATACGAATTACCCTGTAAGAACATATTTGAAAAGTAGAAGAACAAAATTTCTACGCTTATACCAAGCACTTAGTTTTGCGTGAACAACACTCTTTACTCGACGTTTGCTTCGATCTGACAAAAGATATGCTGCTGGTCACCGAGAAAAAAATACCTAGCAGTAAATTAGAACAACTATGAGGTGTATTTTCTGTTTTCTACAAATTCGAGTGTTATGTTACTAAA